CAAGCAGGAATAGCACCATATTTTCACGTGCTTTAAGACTTAGCGCAGGCACAACTATTACATCTCCAGAATTTCATGCCTATATTCAGAAAAATTATAAATGTTAAATTGTTTGGCAGTCTCTTTTATCAGTCTTGCCTCTTTTTTAACAATGCACTACATGCTTAAAACCTTTCAAGTGGTTCTTCTGCAAGACCTTGTGTTCTGTGCTGCTTCTTGTCATCAGGCTAATAGCCAAGTTAAAGGTAACTTGAATGAAGTGGAAATAACTGCCTCCTCTAGAGGATAGTTAAATCCTTGCAGTGGCGTGGGGATTGCACACTATGCAAGAACTGGAAGAAGTTCAGGAAAGTTATATCATAGAATCATAGAATCATAGAATCATAGAATGGTTAGGGCTGGAAGGGACCTTCAAAGGTCATCTAGTCCAAACCCCCTGCAAGGAACAGGGATATCTCCAACTAGATCAGGTTGCTCAGGGCCTCGTCCAACCTGGCCTTGAACATCTCCAGGGATGGAGCATCCACCACCTCTCTGGGCAACCTGTTCCAGTGTTCTACAACTCTCAATCTCAATCAATATATGGTAGCAATCTCCTGATTTTGGAGATGCTAGCAAGGAAAAAGAGTGAGTGTCGTTAAGTGTAGGCTTTACAGAAGAGCCTGGGAGAACTCCTGAACTCCTCGCATTCCAAAAGCTTCAACATTATTAGAGAATTCTCCAAAGGCTAAAATACTAAACACTTCAGTCTATTATGATCATTGCATGATCCACTTCAGAAGCACCTTCTGGTTTCTCATAGCTTCTTCGCTTGATATTTGCAGCAACCCTGTTAGGCACGTGCTGCACTCCTCCTCCGCGCCGTAGAGCTGAAAGGGAAAACTGGAATGCTCGTGATTTAAAGGATGAAGACACGCTGCAAAGTTAGCACACCCAGGTATGCCTCCAAAGAGAAACGCCGAATAAAAATCCACCTTGATGTGCTCTTGAATTGCCAAAGCCTTCTAATGCAGCCTGTGCCCGTGATTTATAACAATGACTCATAATATTGCATTATACTTAATATGATGTAACGCTGATGCAAGATGCCATTCGTGGAATTTCAATGTCAGAGAGAAAGAGAGGAGAGAGCAATCTGGTCATGTACCTCGCCATGCTGTCAGCATGAGAAGTTTACAGCCAAAATATGTAGAACCTTTCAGTACCTACTTTGCTATTTTTTTAGCAGGATAACCTGGAGAATAACATTTTTATTTCCTGGAGCATAAATATGTCTCAGACATACGTTATTGTGTTACTTACAGTAATTTAATTAACTTCGTACTTGAGAAGACAAATTTCCTAACAGACAATTCAGTCTTGCAATTATAACCCCTCACGTGGACGTTTGCAGGGAAAATCAGGATTATGCCTTTAAATTAATTCAAGCTTTATCTCTCTTTTCTGACCCAGCTGTTGCGAATTCTCCTCCTGTTCACCCTGTACCGCTTGCTTCTTCCTGCAGTGAATCAGCATTTCAGGAAATACTAATTCAAAGAGGAAAGACACCCTAAACTCTGTTTCTGGAGGTCAGAAATAGCTGCTCTCCAATAGGTTTGACAAATGACATGAGGCTTCTCGGGCCGCTCAGGGCCAGTTTCGTAGGGTGTATGCGACCCTTGTTCTGAACTCTGCCCCTTCCCCTCCAAGTAGCCTCAGAACTTCGAAGTTGTGCCCACGTGCTACAGAACTGAGTCCTGGTTGTTTGTCCCAAGATAGAGAGAGAAAAAGGACAGTTAGAGCCCCGTCCTTTATCCGTAAGGAAAACTTGCTGGCTCCAGCCCAGCAGCGGAGTGCAGGAGCCGTTGGCAGCCCTGGCATTAGTCTGCAGCGTGGGAGCAGCTGGCAGTGGAGAAGTTTCGCACACGTCGATCTCAGGTGAGAGTGCTGCTCGCTGCATCCCGGCTGTGCACACGAGGATTTTTCAAGCATGGCACCAGCCAGGCTGTTCAGGAAAGGGAAGAGCAGCACGGGTGTTCTCCACCTATGACCTCTAAAATCCTTCACATCTGACACCGTCAATTTTTATTGGCTTCTAGAAAGAGTGGACGGATGCTCGTACTATTGCTCTGACAGAGTCATGTATTCAGTAGGTTCAGAGAGGCTGGTTTTGGCACAACAGGCAGCAGAGAGACATCTGCCTAGGTAAAACAAGGCTATGAGAAGGTGGTGAGTCTTGAAATGAGATCTCCAAAAGGTCTGGGTGAGGCTTTTCCTGGTGGTCCTCTGTTGGCTGATACCATGCGGTCCTACTTATGCTGGGTGTCCCTGGTAAGCCCAGCAGCCCTGCCTACTGCAGTGCAAAGTCCATCATTTCTTGCTCGCCAAGATGGGACAGCGATTCTTAAGAAGACAACTAGGTAACAATATACGTATGATTTACTGGAGTGCATGCTGAATCACCTCCAGCTGGTGTCATCCTAAAGAAAGACCTTTTCACAGGTCATTTGTGAGCACCTGGGGAGTGAGCACAGAACATGGTGCAGTTTCATGTGGCAAGACCAAAGAAGTAGAGAGGACCGACCTTTGAACAGCGTAGTGGTGCCTACAGGTGAAGACAGCAGATCAATAAGAATTGAACATCTGGTTTATTTTTGGAAGCCCAGTAGGTGCCAGTCTGTCTCCTAGGTGCACAAATATCATCAAAAACCTAGCCATGGGCAAGTAAAGCTAGACAAGAATTTGTAGCCCAGAGGAAAGCCACCAAGAATAGATTGTGTGGAGGCTGATAAGATCCATATTGCTCTAAAAGGGAGAGTACCACCTCTAAACAAGACAGTCTTTGTTGGGAAAGGGTTAGGTTCTGAGAGACCTGGCTTGCCAAATACCCGTAAAGGCCTCCCTTTGCCAATTGTCTTTAAATACTGTGATCTTTCACAAAAGAGCAAAGCCTGAAAGGAATCTCTCTAGCAAAAACATCATTTATTCATTCTCTACAGGATGGTGGAGTAACATGCCTCTTCTCAGTCGTGTTACTCCTTCTTTCCCCTGAAGAGCTCAAACAGAGATTTGTTCGAACAAAGATCAGTAATTTTGCTCTGTAAGGGATGCAGGAAGAAGCGTAGCAATATCTCTAGATCAGAACAGTTCCTGAGCCTGCTGGAGAAATGGCAGATCGCCAGAGATAGGACGCACCACTGTTCTCCCAGATAACAATGCGGAGAGCTGAATCTTCCAGGCATAATCTTTTAGGACAGCAAATTGCACACACATAGGTGAGAAACACAAGGAGCTCATGTCCCTGGGGGGGGGGCTGCTGACTGCTTTGCCATCCCACAGGCCAACTCCAGGACTAGTATCCCTCCTCCTCTGCCCTAGGTCCATAACTGGTCCATCCAAGAAATGTAACATCTTTTTTTCGTCTCTATCTTTGAGCTTTGTAATTGAAACAATTTCCTAAGACAGTAGCCAGTTCCGTCTATGTTTCCAGTCCTCTATAGGCTGGTGTGCTGTTTCTTGGGCATCTCTTACTGCCAGCACCTCCCAAATAAAAGCAGACCTTTCAGGGAAGTAGCTTTCCCACAAAGGTGGCACTCCTCTGCTCTTTTTTATTTCAGTGGATTTGTGCTTGTGCAGCAGAGCAGACCGTGGCCCTTGGTGTTTTACCAGGCTTCTCAGTATGTGCCTTCATGCCACCAGAAGCCAAGTACTAAAGATACTGAATCTCAGCTCGTTTAATTAGCAAACATTAATGGGTTTGAGTTATTCTTGAATTCAGTGTTAATTTTGCTGATGTTTTGAAGTACCATGTTTGTACAAGAGAGCCAGACATGGGCATTTGGGATACTAGGTAGAGTAAAAACCATAATCTGACCTATAAAACTACTACAGTAGCATTAAATAAAAGTTAGGCTTTTGTTTGGGGTGGAAATGACTTTTCTTCAATGCCATCTGCTTGGCTCCAGCGTAAGTGGAGATGTCTCAGAGCCCACAGGTAATTACCACAACAAAAATAGTATCCACAAATTAACTGCTGTTCCTAACTTCCTTCTCCCATTTGCTTCAAGTCACACTAACAAAATGCTAAAATCAGTACTGATGCACAGGAGTGCAAGCAGTGCAGAAGGTAAGACACAGAGCTCAGAAAACGAGAGGATTTACGTTCGTTCTGTGAGATGGGATCAGCAAAACGGTCACTCCCGTATGGAAAGCAGCGCTGGGCTGTGCCCAGGGAGCCCACGGACATCCCCCACCCGTTCCTAGCTGGTGTAAATCAGAGCTCCTCCACCCCTGAGACTGCTCTGAGATGTGCTGGGGAGCCCCTGACCTGCAAGGGTCTGAGGAGCAGAGATCAGGTTGGGTCTCGCATCTTCAATGGCCACTGTTGACAGCAAATTGGCAGCAAACAGCACAGGCAGCGGACGCGGGGCATTGCCCAGCGACCCCAGAAACGCGCTGGAAGCTGCTGAATTCCCGTCTTCCCAAGCGCTGGTTCTGCAGTAGCAGCTTTCAGCTACCTGGTCCCAAAGAATGGGGAGGAGGCAGGAATCCTGCTGTGCCAAACAAACCGAATCCGTATCATGGAGTAACAGTGAGTCGGTCTGGGTTTTTTTTTTGCTGAAGTATCTTTCCCCGTGGAGAGGTAGTCCTCACACAAAGAACAGGGTTTAAACAGCCGGGTGAAAACGATCCCTTTTCAAATGAGTGAGAAGTTCATGTCTGAACCTGACGAGAATCCCATTCAACCCGCACGGTAGCAGGCGAGCTTTTTATCATCAGCACCATTTGACTTTCCAGATAAAATGTTTGTTTGCTTTTTTTCTTTTTACAGCTGTAAAGAATAACATTTAGACAAATATTTGAGGACAGATGGTCCAACAAGCTAAGGTGCCTACTTGTCTACTGTAAAACGAGGCCGGCGTTAACGCGCGCTGTGGTTCTCACGCACCAGACGTGATCCAACCCCATCTCCAGTCCCGGGCCGGAGATGTCCACATCTGGAGGAGAGCAGAAGTACTTACCTTTCGCCCAGCCTCGTTGTTGTGCAGGTTCATGAGCGTCCTTGCATTTTGCTTAATCTCCCGGGCATCCACAAACACTTTGGCGAATCCTATCCCGTATCTGATGTCAGCGGAGCAGCCTCCCCATTTCCATCCTTCCTCTTTATGGTACTGTCCTTGTTTCTCTTTGTCACAACCACAGTCACTCAGGTTTCCCTGCGTACAGGCAGCCGTGATTGCATGTGCTACTCCGGCAGCGATGATGGCATACGTGAATGCTGCTTCTCTGCTCCCTGAAATGAAAACAGCGCCATAAATACGTGGTACAACATGGTGACATTCCTTAGGAAAAGACAGGCAAGATCCTGCAGTGCAAACATAAGAAGGCTATTATTAGAAAAGTGCTGTAAATCTGCAGGCATAAGCAGGTCTCTTCTGAGTATTGATTTTTGTGGATGTTCACTCTCTAAAATGAGAGCTCTCCATGAGGCAGTAGGAGATAAAGTATTATTTAGGCAACTTCATATAGATACTTCCAGATGGTATTAGAAGTAGTCGGACTAAACTATTCATAGCAAAAGGGTGCGGTGGCAAATGCTCTAGCTCAAACAGAAAGAAAGAAGAAAATAGGTGGAATTGGAGGTGAAATTATTAAAACATCCAAATTCAACTTTTTAAAAAACCAGCTCAGAAAGGGGATTTTGTTTAGAAATTTAATTCTACACTAAAAGGTACTTTTACAGGAAAACAACCTCTGTTAGAAATCTGGTTCCGAAAGTATTCTAGCTGAACTGGAACTTTTTTTCGCATTGTAGGTGTCACAAAGATTTCAACACTGACTTTTGTGCAAACTCAATGAAATAAGTTTCGGTTTTAATTTCAAAATCTCTCACAGGATGCAAAAAAATCCTGGCCTGTTGCAGGTACCGTGACAAAAGCAAGGCCACGTACGAGCCGCACCAGAGGGCTGGGAGGAGGCAGTGAAGTCAGGATTATTTTGTGCAATATGGCTCTTATGAAAGGCTTCTGTTTGTTTGGGGGAGATCACTTTAACTCTGTGATTTAATTTATCTTCTTGAAGCTTTCTTGCATGCTGGCGTGGAGACTTCCCACGTGTGGATCCTCTGGGATCCACGAGGCTTTTGGAACCAGTTCTGCTGAGAGAGGGACTCTTCAAAACACAAGGGGGTTTGCAGAGGTTGCCCACATACATCAAACAGCCCTTTAAAAATTCTTGCATCTCCCAGACTAAGAACCTACTCCTGCTTTTATTTCTCCAGTGGCAAAATGTACCCTTGCATCAACAGGATCAGAATCAGGCTCTTAATTAGGGGAGGGCAGATGGGAAGATCAGCTTCCCTTCTCCAAACGCCCACCGGTTAAGTGCTGGCAGACCTCAACTGCTGGCAATAGTTTATTATACATGAAACAAGCATATTTCTGCTGTTTGTTGGATTTCACAAAAAAATAATCACTTGGGAAAGAAATCTTACAAGCACTTCATTCTCGACTACGTCCCTTTCACGTACAAGACCTGGATTTCTGTACTTGTCACTGAACAGTTCTTTCAATGAAAAATATTCACTTCCTTACAGCAAGGAAGTAAAATGGAAATCAAGATGACATAATCAAAATCTGTTAATAGGCAACTTCATGCCTTTTTATCAGCATAGGCAACATTCCCATTGATACTGCTGTGCACTGTCTTTAGTAAGAAATTGGTAGTCAAGTATCAGGCTCCCTCAAAGGATTTCTTGTTTTCCCTTATTTAAAAAAAAAAAAAAAAATCATAAAATATTGAATTGTTATGACTATGTGGACTTTGCAGATGAGGCTTTCTGGAGCTAGTGGCTTTTTATGAAAATCTGAACGTGGGACAGAAATCGCAGGCTTTAAGGTGTGTTTAGGTGTGGGGAGGCCAGAGGGGGCAGGTGGAACTGGGGTTCCACTCCAGAGTGAATCCACGAGGACCAGCCAGGGCACCTTTCTAGTTCCTCCTCCAGTTTATCCTCAACAATATCCTCACTATTTTAAGTACAACACTATGGAAAATGCACTGATAAGCAGGGGCAGGTACAATAAGAGGTCCCAGTTTCTCCACTCAGAGGAGATCGATGTATTACACCAGATTTCTGTTTCATGAAGCAGCAAATGGGACAGCATCAAAATTATTTTTTGAGCTGAAATTTTCATCTGGTTCTGCGTTTCCTTCAGTTGGATGATTTCTGATCTAGCACAAGTTGATTTCTAGATCTAAAATGAAAAACACTGGGAGGGCATTTTAATCTGACACACTCAACATTGTGAAGTTGCTCTTTTGCTTCTTAGAGGGGAGAAAAATGCAACACGGAGTATAAAACCAGCCCAAGCAGAATCAGAAGCCAATGTCAAGCTTGATCATAAAACATATTACACAAATTAAGTTATTTTATAGCTTCATCTTGTTTGGGGGAAAAGTTTAGCAGCTTTTGGAAACTAAACGTTAGGAGATCACAAGGTAAACAAAGCAGGTGTCTGGAGGAATTGATCCAGGCAGGAAGTGGATCAATTGGCACTTGTGCAGTATTGATAAAGGGGCACAGGCTTGTCACATCTGCATCAAACTATCCCTGTTTTCCATAAATGATTGACTTTTTTAAGCTTCGTTACCCTTGTCTGGCACATGGAAGTGTCAGCTTACAGGCTAGGGGGTAACTTAGTTCATTCTGAGTCTCTTCTGGGACAGTGCTTTAGGTACCAAAGCAGTGCAACGGGGGTTTTGTAACCCAGTTGGAGCAACATGAGCACATGTGTTTTCCTGCCACTTTTGAACAGCAAATACTACTCCTCTACTTCTGATTTCAGCAGACAGTTGAAACGCCTGGAGGATCTCAGAGGGAAACACTGCTTTGACAAGGTATGTGCAGGCAGCTGCTCCTTGCAGACAACAGTTTGTTTCCTCTGAGCTTCTGCTGATGCTCTGGAGCAGGCTGACCAAGGAAGTACCGCTCCACATTCAGTCTAATCTCAAAATATGGGGAGGCTGAAAGGTCCAACCTCATCATTTCTGGATTTGCAAAGATGAACAATTTGGGAAATGACCTGATACGATCATCCTTTATTTTCTCTCTTGTTTACCTACGCTTTTTAGTGCGTCTGACAGCCAGCTTAGACCTGTGCCATACTTTCCCTCTGCAAACTTAGTAGTAAAAAACTCAGGATCTCAGAGTTAGAAAAAGGTCGGGCTTTGATACCAACACAGTAGTGAGACTCTTTCACGTTTACTTTAAGCTGTAGGTGATGGTGACTGTAGCATCACAAAATACTTCATAGGTGAGCACAGCACTTCTGGTTCAGGAGGACACAGAAAGTTAGCAAAGCAGGAGCTGTAGTACAAAATACAGGGCAAGGAAAGAGTAAAGGGAACAGAACTGGCAGCAACACATGACACCATGTGAGACACAGAGCCCACTTTGGTGGATGACACTCCTTCCCTAGTGAAAACAGATCGTTAGCCAGTGGGCTGATGGTAACATCAAGGGTTTCTCTCTTCTGTTTGGGGTGCAGAAAACCCTGATCTGCAGTCATCACCTTCTCTAGATGGCTAGAAAGATCAGACAGTAGCTGGAAGAGTAAACTGGCATGTTTTCAGCAGTGAGATCAGAAGAGACCTTTGGAGAGAGTTTAAATAAAATGTACTCATTGGTATGAGCTACTTAAACTGTCTCTTGAACAAGCTTCTGACCCATTCACTAGAAGCATCGAGTAGAGACCCAGGAACTAACTCTTCCTGCAGTCAATTCCCACTGAATTCATCCTTAAACTGCAACTGGACTTAAATCTATGCTTTTTTAAAAAATATTTGGGAAAAAAAATAATTAAAAATGCATATAATTAACAGATCCATTGATCTTTGTGGAAGATTGGTGCAAATCATGATCCCAGATGCTGGGTCAACTTAAAGAGACTTTTGTGGAGGCTTTTCCAGCCAGTGACATGCAACAGTGCACATAAAACCACTTGTGATGAGCAAACTGGTGAAAGAGAGAACGATGGCTGCCTGCGACCTACACGAGTTGCGGAGAAGGGTGGAGAGTTGTTGCTCACCAGCCTGGGCTGCAGCACCAAGGATGCTGCTGCATCCTCCGCAGCCAGGAGGAAATGGCCTGCCTCTTGTAGGCAGGATAGGTACCTTGAGTTGAGTACTTAATTAGTTCATTATCTTCAACTCAGTCCAGCTGGGTAAGAATGATTGGTGCCATAGAGAGTCAGCTATACGTGTACAAGAATTTCAAGCCGTCGTTTCAGCTCCCGAATGACACGTTCCTCTCATTGTCTCGAACAAGAACAGGCTAAAACCGCACCAGAGCTGAACTCCAAGCATCAGAAGAAACTTCAGAAGAGGATCTGGCAGCCTTCCAGAGGTTGCTCTGGTCATTTACGAGGCTGGTGATCTGACAGGGCTTTCTGACCATGGCAGCATGTCCAGGTATAACCAGTGTAGTACCATAAGTGATGTCCAAGCGCAGTGCAGACAGGCTGGGGCTGGTGGTGCTCCCCCCCATCCAGACCCAGGGCTGCCCTCAGGCTAAATAAGTGCTTCAAGTGCTGTACAAACACAGAGGCTTTCCTTCACGTGTCGGACATAAATATCTCCCAGCTCTTTCTATTTTTTTCTGGACTTAAATAAGGTATGCGGTGTGTTGCAGCTCCGTTGGCTTTGATGGCAGATAGCTTGGCACCTGTGGCTTCCAATGCTTCCACAGCTCCACTTGGTCAATGCAAATTGTCCTCCAAAGCACTGGAGTCCTGTCTTTAGACCAACACTGGGTAGAACGTGACCATCCCAAGCTGTCTTTAACTTTGTGTCCGAGCTCTGCACAGTCAACCACCACCACAGAGTGCCAGGTGTCGTAAAGGGAAGCACTAAGATTATCTCAAGTGAGTGAAAACATAAATTTTACCAGCACGGGTGGCTCTCCTGCCACGCAGCATAAGTATCCACAACTCACGTATACCTCGGAGCATTAATGCTGCAAACACGCATTGCTTTGCTCCTGTGGATGAATGTTGGTGGGACTGGGCTTTGGCTGATCAGCAAGTGGTCTGCCTGCCTGTCAGCTGCAAAGAGTGGTCTGCATTCTGGTTTTAATTTAGCTAACTTCATTTTTTTTTTTCTTAAGTTTAATCTTAAAATTTGAACAGTTTGTAAAGAGCTTCATTCACACTGGTTAGAAATGAGAATTAGTTTTTTTAAAAAAGTCAATAGCTTCATGTTGCATGGGAAATGCAAGATATGGAGTGGGTTTACTTG